ATGGTAGTACCTCCGGAAAATGCTTATTCAAGTATAAATAAAGAAATAAATGATTATAAATAAAATATATAAATTTAATAATATACTAGTTAAATTAGTAGAATAAGAGAAAAGAAAAGTTCTACTAAGAAACTATCTATAGTTAAAATAACTCAAAATAATTAGGTGACTTTTCTTGACATGATCAGGTGATTGTGGCGCAGTAAGTTACATGTAGTGCAGTATGTGGTGCAGCAATAATCTGTGAGATAAAAGATAAATATATTATAATTATTGTGACAGATTAAAATAAAATAGGATTAAAATGAAATGGTGATCTTTTTTTATTGTTATATGAAATGTGTGATCTTGAAATTTTATTAGTCAAAATTAATGGTTTTTTATATATTATAATTTACATAATATTAATGCTAATGCTACGAAATATTAATTATATAATTTACATTATCAGTAATTTTATCTTTAATAATTTTAATATAATAAATACAAAATATAGTTTAATTTAAAATTTTTAAATTTTGTGTTGCCTTGTTTGTCTAGCCTATTTAATTAATTTTAGTTTTGCAGAAGCTTTCTTAAATTCTTTGCTGTAAAAGTTTTTACTTTTCCATTTACTCTTACTCTTATAATTTTATTATTACTACACATAGTAACTACTTCTCCACTTGTACTATAAATTTATTTTAACTTTTGCTTTCTTGTTTTTTGATTTATATCATGATCACTGATAATAACAACTTTATCTTCTGATTCAAAGGCTAATCTTTTTTGATGAACACTTTCTCGAATAACTATTTTATCCTAATATTATTCATCATTTTTTGCAATCTCCTTTTGTACTTTTTTCACTTGTATTATATGAATTTTATATGTAATTTAACTATCTTTCTCTTGAATAATGCTCTAGAGGTTATCTTGAATGGCTTTGGTAATTGTTTCATCTGACATATTGATTATAACTTGGCTATTATTCTTCTTGATCATTTTGTTTTCAGTCTGGTCTTGGTGATTATAGTTTTCAAATTGGTCCCTCTCAGCTTGGACTTGTTGGTTATTCTGATTCTTCTTGGCTTGGACTTGGATATTTTCTTTAATAACTATTTCACCTGGAGTACTATAAATACCTCACATTTTGAAATCAAAAAAGGCTTTATAAGGTAATTTATCATGCACGCTGTAAGATATCTTGTTGTAGGCAATTACAAATGTTTGAAGAATATTGATCCACTGATATTCTTAAACTTCAGAAACTTCATCCCATAACATTTTGTTAAATGGTGGCCAAGTATTTGGTTGAATCTTTCAATTTTGCCCTGGCTCTGAGAGTGATACACATGATTATGAATAAGTTACATCTAAAAAAATATTAATAAGATTGACAAAAAAGATAAATAAAAATCTTTAATATCTCACATGTTTGCTTTAGGATGTCAGTTATGAATTCCAATCCATTATCAGCTTAAAGTTTATTAAGTGAATCAATAATCGTAAAAATTTTTACTAATTCCTAATGGATCATATCATCTCCTTTGTCATAAAGTGGAATAGCCCAAACATACTGCGAAAATACATTAATTATTGTAAGAATATAACTATATCTATTATTATATTCTGCAAAAGAAAAAAGATTAACCAAATCAATCTGTACATGTTCAAGAGAACCATCAGCTATAATGAGTATTAAGTCTGCTTTTTTCTTGATACTAGTATTTCAAATACAGATAGAACAATTTCTTATATATTTCTTGACTTCTTCTTGCATAATACTAACATATTGCTCATAGAGCATCTTATAGATTTTATGATAATCAAAGTGTGCTCTGTCAATATGGAACTTTTCAAAAAGAACTTCTTTTAACTTAGTATCATAAATGGGAATGACTCTTTTCTTAATAAGTGGAAAATTTTTATTCTTTGAAGATTGAAGGTAGAAAAGATAATCAGTTTGGATATTGTATATAAAGTTCTTACATCTTCTTTGAAAATTTGCCACTTTTACTCAGTCATTATACTTGGCAAGAAGTGTACCAGACTGAATATAAGTAATAATATCATCAAAATTCTTAGGTATATCTGGCATCTTTGAAAGTTTTACCATATTGAAAGATAGTAAATGATTTTGACAATTTGGTGAAGAGATGGGAATTTGGAAAGGGTGCATAAATTTGGAGATACAATTGAATTAGAAAGGGCATGCAAATTTGGAAAGGTCTGATTAAATTGAAAAAGATGTGTGAATTTGGAAGGACACGTGAATCTGTTTATATAACAAGTCAGGTAAGCTTAAGCTTAAGAAGATGAGAAAAGACAAAATTTTTTTCAGGTAAGTAAACACAATTTTGTGTTTATCTAGCACATGAAAATATTACATCAGATATTTATAAAAAGAAGAGTTTTTTGCTTGTCCAAAAAAATATTTCCTTTTGCATATACCATATATACCACACATTCTACATATCTTGTATACTAAAGATTTTGTTCAGACTTTTACATATTAATATTAGCTTTGCTCATAATGTCAACATTGACTTTCATCTACAAAATATTCTAACTTTTATATGACTCAGATTTCATCTTTGATATCAGTTCTTACCTACAAACATACTAATGAACTTAATTTCAGTTGGTAATAAGAATCTGACTGACCGAAGCAAGAATCTTGAAACTACCAAATGGCAAGAGCCAGAGTCCTAACCTACTCCAACACACCAAAAAGCTTTAGCAAAATGCAAAAAACCTTGATAAGAAAATTGCTATTTATGATATCAAATTGATATTACATGTTTAGTTCCCATTCGCTCGTCACTAATTTATCAATCAACTATTGATAATGCAAATTACATAATTAATATTTCGTAGTATTAGCATTAACATTATGTAAATTATAACATGTAAAAAACTATTAATTTTGACTAATAAAATTTCAAGATCACATATTTCATGTGATAATAAAAAAAGGTCATCATTTCATTTTAATCCTATTTCATTTTAATCTGTCACAAAAATTATAAAAATTAGTTAAAATTTAAATAATTTTTATTAAAGTAATTATTAATTTTTATATTAATATATCAATTTTTTATAATAAATTATATATTTAAAAAAAATTTTTTTATAATTTAAAATATTAATTAAATATTTGATATTTTTAAACTACTTGTATTATAATTAAAAATTAAAATTATATAAAAATTAAAAAAAAAAATATATATAAAAATAATTTAAATAAAAATATAAAAAAATATTTTAATTATAAAATATTTAGAAAATTAAAATCTAATTTAATATTAATATATAATAATTCTTATAATTATAGTATAAAAAAATTAATTTTATTAATAAAATATAATAAAAATTAAAATTTTTTATATTAAAATTTATAATTTATTAAGAAATAATTTTTATTTTTATATTAAAATAGAATTTATAAGTTATAGTTTAATATATATTTTTTCAAATTTTAAATTTTTCTAAAAGAATTATTTTAATTATAAAATTATTATAAATTTTTTCTAATAAATTATAAAGAAAATTTTATAATTATAAGAACTATTATAATTAAGAATATTTATCAAAATTATATTAAAATACTATAATATAAGAATTATATCAAATTATATATTAATAATTAATTAATATCTTAATATTTTATAAATCTGCTTTATTATTAAAATTCAAAAAGATTTAAAATAAAGATATGTTATATATTAATAATTAATTAATATTTTGACTTTAATATTATATTATCTGTTAAAATTTTAACAAGTATTCTTAATTATAATTAATTAATATAATTTAAAATTTGCAATTTAATTTATATTTTATTAAAAATATATATATAATATATTCTGAAAAAAAATTTATTACTAATTAAAAATAAAATTTTATAAAATTTAATAATATTATTTAAAATTAATAAGAATTTATTAAATTTTTAACTTAAAATAACTATTTCTTAGAATAATTAAAAAAATAAAATAATTATTATATAATATATAATTAAATCTAATAAAAAATAATTAAATATTTAATATTTTAATCTGCAATTTAAATGCTAAAACTGAATGATCTAAGAAATAATTTCTTATTCTTTATATTGATTTTTTTGAATTTTATGAAAATTTTTAAGTATATTACTGATAATATAAAATATAAAATTCTATTTATTAATAAATTTTTAAAATATAAATAAGTTAATACAAAAAGATTTATATCTTAATATAAAAATTAATAATTACTTCTAAAATTATTCAAATTTTAAACAATCTTTATAATTTTTTTATATTAAATAAAAAATGATCTAAATTAACTTTTTATATTATTTTAACTATTCTGTTATACTTTAATTCAATAATAAATAAAGTATTACTTTACTAAAAAAAACTAAAATAAAATTATTTTTTTTAAAAAAAAGATATTTTAAATATTATCATTATTAATTTGTAATATTAAAACTTCAAATTACACAAGCAGATTGCTTATTTTAAATTTTATAAAAATTGAATCAGTAATTATAAAGATATTAAGATTCAAAGTTGAGTAGTTAAATTATTTACTATATAATTTTTAATCAAATTTATATAATAAAATTTAAGAAATAATAATTGAAAAAAGTTATTATTAGTAAAACTTTTTTTATAAAAGATATATAATAAAAATTTTTAAATCCCAATACTTAATAACTTAAATAAAACAGAATTAAAATTTTAGTTTGAAAAATAATCTATTAATATTATCTAAGGTACAAATCTTTTTGCACCGACCCATATATAATAATTTCATTAATATAATTTTGATTATTAAATCCAATATAAGTACATCCATCCAAGAATTCCGTTTGAATCAAAAGATAAATACTCAAAATTTGTGCTATATATACAGTTTACAATAAATCGAATTTACAAATAAATAAATGTTTTGCATTTAAGATCCATGACAGGTAGTAAGTAATATAGGAGCTCAGGATGTGTAGAAGTTCCACGTTATTTTATTACGAAACCTTAATCTTTTGGCTGAATAGGACCAGGTCGCGTTTTTCGATGTGTGCTCCAAATATCAGGAACCATCAAGAAATAGCTAAAAGAAAATAAATTTTATATGATTTTAAAAAGAATAAGGATCAGAATAATTTCTTAGTTGATATTAAACTAACTTACCGATCCATTGCTTCTCTAAATCGATGTTTATATTGACGCGGAGAGACGATAGTCGGCTCTTTACCGCCACCACCAAGAATCCCCGTTTCTTTCACCCAACTTTCAAGTTTTTTATCCCATGTAAAAGTACGTATAAAATCTGACAATATTAATAATAAAAAGTAAGTAATGATTTTTGATGATAATATTAAATAAAATAATACTCACCTACGATACCAACGACTAATTCCTGTTTACCCTCGTCAATTCCCACCAATAAAGAGTAGTCCATGACATTCAGTTTTCCAAGGAACAACGTGTCATTCCATAACGAGGCACGAAGAATTCTTTTCGAATGTTCCCGTAAATATAGAGGCTTATCGTGGAGAACTGTGTATTACAGAAATAATTATTACATAATGGTGTAAAAAAATTAAGCACAAAACAAGAGACATACGTTCAAGTAAATTTTCGTCTAGTAAAACTTCATTTTCTTTGCCAGTACTTCGAACATGACGATTTCTCATTGACCCTTTGAGGTCGAAAATCTATTTATTATAAAACACAAAAGGAAATCAAAAGAAAAAATTGTATCGATAATATTATATTCCTCACAAAACAAACAGCAAAAAAATATAAGTACTTTTGAGATTTTACGCTCATAAAACAAATTTTCCATGACGATAACGTCAATCTTCATATTTTTCCCGTATTGTTCATTCTTGTATCCAATTCGATAGAACCCAAAGATTTTAGCAAGCACAGTGGGAAGCTGAAAGATTTCCGCAAAATAAAAATTACTATATTAATAATCTTCGAAAAAATTCGAGAACATGTTAAAAATTCGAGAACATGTTATTACCTCGTGGAAAAATGCTTTTGACATATATTCGAAATATGCTGGTGCAAATTTTAAGAATGCATCCATTTCCAAACGAGACATTTGTTTCATAACCAAACGGTCATCTGAGTTCCATTTATAATGATTGGTTGACTTTACTATAATAATCGCATTTTAATATATTAAGAAAGCCTATAAGCTAATTGTCTACCTCTCGTTTTCAAGAATGCTGATCCAGATTTTCCCCCAGTTGAATCCCATTTTACACATCTAGCTAATGATTGTATGTATGTACTTTCGCATCCGCAATTACGTCTGAGGGCATCAAATTGTTCTGCAAAAAATATCTTACAAAACAACTGGCTAGAGCCTTCAGAAAATTCTAAACATATAAATTTTATTGTTGATTCATATAATTAAATGAAAGTTCAGCAACTTCCTAATATTGAATAAATTTAAGTTTGTCAAATTAAAAAAAAAGCTTACGATATTTCATGTGCATTCCTGTTTCCCGAAGCAACGCATCCTTAATATTTTCTGGGCCATCCTCCATATCAACCATATCCCAATTAGAGCCATTGGTTCCAGGATGCCCTTCGTTTTCAGGTACGAAGACTTCGGTAACTGTTGCAGATGGATGTGTTTGTTGTTCTAGTTGTAATTTGTTGAGGTAGTCTTTTGAACTATAATAATAAATTTGAATATATCAGTTGATAAAATCTTCACCCAAGTTTATTCCGAATTAAATTCTCACCTAAGAGTAAATGCTATTATAGAACTTGGTTCATCTTCTCGAACAATTATATTAGAATCGGCAAAAACATGCTCTGTCGAATGCCTGGAAATACAAGGGTTTCATGAATTGATCATATAATCATTAGATCAATGTAAATATTATTATAATGGTGGACTATTCACTTACAAAGGATATTCCAAAGGTTTGAGATTAGCAGCGTTTCGATCTGCCCACAAGTTAGTCAAGGATCTTACTATTGGAGGAAAAACACTATTTTCTTTTACGCTTTCCTGATCCCTCGATGAAGCGTTTTGATAATTGTCTGATTCAGGTGTTAAAAGTCCATCTTGATCATCTGGAGGCAAATACGAAATTGCCGATTCATAGACATAAGATTCGTCGGAAGGTTCATGACCTATTGATGGATATTCAGGTTTTGCTTCCGTTTGGTCGTAAGTTTCTGTTTTATTCATAGGGATAGGTAATCCCTTGGAATTTTGATCATCATCGTCCTCATCATCTTGATATTCGTCATCGGATTCTTCTTTCACTGCTTCTTTAACATTACTAAAAACTTCGAGCTTCGGCTTAGAAGTAAGTCGGCCATTTTTTAATTTATTATTTATCTCCGCAAATGTACGAGCAGAAGATCTACGAAAATCTTGTATTCGTGCAATACGCGTAGGTTTTTCATTATGACGAGAGTTTGGAGGTCTTTCAGATGATTCGGATTCACTTTTCTTGCTTCTTTTTCCTTTACTCGCAGGGCGTTCCTGTGAATTCTCCCCTTTTGCTTTTTCTTTTTCCAAATCAAGCGTCAAAACACTAACACGTGTATTCAAGTTCGACATGAAAACGTTACTTGTTGACGCTGCTGCTGATGAAAGCAACATTTCCCTGGAATTATCAACGGATGAATCAGCGGTTCGATTATTTTCTACCGAATTAATCTTTGTAGTACCACCATCATCTGCGGACTTATTTGATGCAGGCTTTCTTTTAGGAAAATTTGGGGCTGACTTGTTAATTTCTTCTGAATCTTTAATGAGTTCAGATTGTTGATCTTGGCTAGGGTTCAGGATGGGGTGGATTTTAGATTCAGAGACAGTACGCGAAGATAATTGGGGTTTCTGTGAATTCTTTGGATCTATTATATTAGTATTGGATTGATTGGAAGTGGCTTTTACAGTTGGTTGAATCAATTCTTTTTCTTTAATATCTGTTCGAGGAAGTTCTTTTTCATTTACTGCATTAAGTACCAGTGATTCAATTTGCGGTTGATTTTCTTTGTTTGAAGTTGGTGCAATTTTAGTAGTTTCCATAAAAATCTCCTCTAATTTAGCTAAAGGCAATTCTTTTATAGGAGATCCTCGAGTTATCGAAATTGGGTAATTGCTATCTAAATTCAGCATTTTTTTCAGTTGCTTGGCAGTCAAACGTGTTGGGAAGTATTGTCTGGCAAACTCATTGAATACTTGCTCCCAGTGTGCGACTTTTTCTTGTAAATCTACCAAAACTTGATTCAGCGCCAAAGTATCATCGGGAGAGCTGTTTACATATGTATGATTAAGTTGCTGAAGCATGTAATTCAATTCGCTGGCAACTTTACTCGACATATCGTGCAATTCCTGCTTACAATTTTCAAGTTTATCAGGTTGAACAATCCCATAATCAAAGGTTTTTATTCGCTCCGCAACAGATTCCAAATATTTTGTAATTTTTGACTTATACGACTCGTAGTCTTGATTTTTTAAGCGAATGGCCACTTCTGGTTTTGTGCGTAGAATCATCGGTGGCACTGACACCTCCATCAAACATATAGGCTGATATTCAAAACGAACCGCGAGATTCTTTAGGCTGAAGTAATGAGCATGATCGCGATAAAATGCGTGTGGACAGATCTCTACACGACGAAGTTCAGTTTGGTAGAATGATTGTTCAAGATATTTACCGAATGAATATTTCCATGTGTCTTCCGACATTTGTACCATCGGGGTTGCTCGTTGACATTTTGTGCAGTAGCTCCACATGAGGATTGTGTTCTCCATACCGGGGCGAGGACACTCGTATTGCTCAATTACAACGCTTATTCGCGCATTTCCATGACAATAGCTTTTATAATGCATCAAAAGCGGTCGATCACACGTTTTAGCTGGACAGAGGTAACTAGAATCATAACACATTTCCTCGAGGTATTGTCCTAGAGTACGATCGGATTCACTATAATATTCTATTATATGAACTTCTGGTCCTTGACAAGGAGCCTGCGTCACTGTACAAACGTTCGAATACAAGACAACAATATTTTGATGCGCAAATGGACTAGCGTCGTTATTCATTAGAAGGTGACTTTCCCAAGTGCGTGTTAATTGGTCCCGTTCATTGACTATATCGGCCAATTCTACATCTGCAATCACCTGTTCAGCTTTACGAAGAATATTCATTGTTTGAGATGGTTGCGACTCATCATCGAAGCCATTTTTTTCGTTATGTTCATTATTAATATTAGTGTTATTAATATTAATAATATTATTATTATTCATCAAGGATAGACTACGATCTTTTCGTGATGTCAACTCGGCCAATTTACGTTCAGTTTGTGCCATTTTTACTAATAAATAAGGTGCAGGAAATTTGATGAAAGGTGAAACAGAGAGAATTTTTGATTCATATCGATGAAGAGCTTCTGATACTTTATCTTCTATAGCGTTCACACCGTTAAAATATTCATTTCTTTTTGCTTCCCACACATCATCCATACGATGCGAAGGAACTCTTGCTGATTGGTTATTCATGAGAGCACTTTCCAATTTCAAATTGTAGACAACAAACACCATCAAGTCTGTAACTTGTTTTATTTTTTCAAGGGTTTCAATATCACCACCTCGCAAAACAATAGTACATCCCAACTCTTTGGGACAATTCTCGAAAAACAAGTATGATTTTCGTCTACCAGGAATCAATTGATGTTCAAATGTTTTCACGTAAAATTCACCACATTTTCCCAACTTTGGATTCAACCCAAATTTATCCATCGATGGTAATATATCTGCACGTGTACATCGAGCAACCGCTTCGATGACGGATGTTTTGACATTTATTGCAACTGTTAATTTATGTTCTATTAGAAATTCTAACGCTTTTCGTGCGACTGTTTTTTCTACTAATACTATATTTGGTCGAAGGTCAGCAATGCGTTGTATCAAATTCTCTAAATGTTTTTTCTCTTGCGCTATCACTGGTTCTAGGGAGATGAACTGATTTTCCACTCGCTGATATTCCAACGGAAACGTTAAGATCAAAACACGCGGGCTAGTAAGTGCACGTGCCATTTTTTTATCGGCCAATTTTTTTGTGCAGACAACACCGGTGACATATTGAGAATCTTGTGGTGTACCACCAGGAATTTTTTTTATTTTTACGTAGTGCCGTATATCAATTTCATCACCATTCCTGATATCGGGATTGAGATTCTCGGATACTTTATGCATTAATTTCATGATTACTTCTTCCCATCCTTCAGATAAATTAATTTCCGCTTCCTGAAGCGCTTGACGCAATAGTCGTCTCATGTGCGTTAAAAAGCTTGGATTAATTTCTATTTTTATTGGCTGAGAAGAAGAACGATGATGACGAGCATAATATGGTGAAGATGGCCGCTCTATTGGCGAACAACTTATAGCGATTTCTGGCTGGCCAGGACCCGTGTTAATTTGCCGCATATATCCCCTTTTAGGATGTCGATTTGCAGGTGGCCTAACACCATTAATACTACGTCGACGAGTACTGGCTGTTCGTTCGCGACCAAAATGACTCCGAATTTCTTCATTTCGTACTCCCTTCTGAAGTATTTTCTGTTGCGTCTTTGTATTATAATCCCATGAATCCTCGTCACTGCCAGCATATTCAGAAACGGCTGGCGTCGGTGCTGCTGATTCACCACCACCATCATTAGGATGCATGGTCGACAAGAAATTCAGTACATTTGACGGATTCGACCAAGTATCGTAATGTCCCTCCTGGTCTTCATCGCTCATAAACGGGGCAATTTCAGGATCAAGAACAGCTTCAGGATTCACTGCGGGAGTTGTTTTGTCCGCTTCTGTTAGACTGCGTCTAAAAGGGGCAGGAGATGAAGATAATACTGGTTCTTCGGTGATTGTATTTGATCGTGATCGATTAACGAACAACGAAGAACCGGCTGATAGCATTTTTTTGATGCCATCATTTATTGAAAGTGTGTCGGGCGATGGTGCTCGCGGTTGCCAATTTTGCGCGACATGGGGAACAGGCGGCGTTAATGAAAATCCGTGGTCTATTGTTGGTGGCCGGTAATAATTGTTCCCACGGATCGTAGACGACGAAGGAATTTGTCTTGGAAGGGGAGCGGTTGAGAATTCATGCCTTTGATTTAATGCGTGTTCCAGATCGCTATCTGATTCGTCACCGTATTCTTGCATCAGTTTCATACAAAAGTTACATACTCGCATAGGTCCGTCGAGTTTATACTTCTCACCGGGAATAAGATGTTGGGCACATTTCTTGCAAAAAATCTGACCTTGTTGAAATTAGGAGATGTGCTTTTAAATTATATTTCAAATCAATCAATTGTTAATATTATGTAAGATTATTATTTACCGCAAGCACGGCAATGATGCTTTCTACGAAACGTGGTAAATGTCGCTTGGCAATCATAGCACTCTTGACATATATCATCCGACATCCAATAAATCTGATTAAGTCCTTCACCACGCAACCTTCGAATAACCTTCTTTAGCGAATTAGTGTTCCCTATCGAAGAAGCCGGGCCGATTGCCGACGACCTAATAGATTTGGTGTCAGACACGTCCTTGTAAGAATATAGTGTATTGTTATTGCTATTACTATTAGTTGTTGGAGCGAGTGGATCATATAACGTCAAAGAGGAAGAAAAGGGGGAGGAGGGAGCTGGTCGTTGTTGAGCCATATTATCAGTAATTCCATACCCATTCCCACCAACACCAGATTCACTATTAAGGAACGCATGAGTTTCTTGCGCACCTCTTTCTGATTCAATTAATAAATTTGGCGAGTTACCGAATGCGGGCGCTAATGAAACGACGGGCGGCGCAGGTGTTACGCCGCCATGTATGAAGCCTTTTTTTTCTTTATCTTTTAAGAGGGCAGAGGGTGGACGTGAAGGTTCCGAACTATTATCATCATCATCATCATCATCGTCGTCGTCGTCGTCATCATCATCACCATCATCATCATCATCGTCGTCATCGTCATTAATATTGCTATTATTATTATTATTATTATTGTGATTTGTTGGAGAATTTGGTGAAGAATTTGAACCATTTTCTGCTGTAGGGGTATTATTTATCGTTGACGAAGCAGAGGAATTAGGCGGTGCTGGTGGTGTCGGTGGTGGTGTTAATGACTGTTGTTGTTTTTGTTGTGATGCATCTTGAGCAAACCCTGAATTACTAATACTGGTTGTTGTAGTTGTTGTGGCTGCCGAGACAGCATTAAACGAATTCTTTACTCGTTGAAATAACTTTGTTACCACATTTTCGTTGTCTTGCTCTAATGTTTTATCCAAGTCAAAGCTTGTAAGCGTTTTTACATCGAGGTTTAGTGGAGAATAGGTAGCATTGTCACCGTTATTTGAATTATTGCTGGTGGTAGTTAACATTTTCTCCACCCTACCATTTGATCTGATGAATGTGAGAATATCGGATATATAAAGTCAGGTGGTATGAGGTCATTGTTTTTTCAACATTTACACAACCACATCCGAGTATTTTTCACTTACCTTCGAAAATGAGTCACCAAAGTATAAGACACGAGCAGCAAAGTAGTCAAAGTAGCGCTTTTTTTGAAAAGTAAGCAATTTTAGATCAAGTATGCCCGTTTTTTTGCTATTGCTAATTAGTCAGGAGATGAATGCGATATTGACCTGGGTTTAATTATTAGGCGGAAGCGCATGCGTGAAGAAAGCACCTTTTCAATTTGGCCACCTTCGCCGAGACCTCACGAAAGATATGATCGGTAATTTTTGTCTTTATCACTGATTTTGAATGGAAATTTTTATATCAATAACGTTTTACGACAATTACACTTTGTAATTTTAGCTCTTTACCAGAACGTGGAGGAGACTTGAGACGATCAAAGACTAGAAAACGCGCACGACGAAGTGATACTGATGATTCCGGTGATGATTATTCTTCCATCACCGAATCTGGTACTGAAGAGGAATCCGACTATGACAGTGATGATAGTGAAGAAGGTATTTTTATTTGACAGGTACAATGTCTGATGACGCGATTTTTTATTTTTTCGAGGGATGATATTCTCTTTATTCACTATATATATATATATATATGTATATTTGACTAATATTAGTTAGAAAACGACGTCATTCAAAGAAGAAAAGACATCGAAGTTCTAAATCTTCTCGTCATAGTCACCATCATCATCATAGTGATAGTAAACGTTCATCCAAACACAAGAAGTCATCCACAACAAAATCAAAATCAAGACGTCATCATCACGATCATCATAAAAGTAAACGTTCTCCATCTGTTAGCGACACCGACAACAGCTCTGTTACTGAGTCTTCAGACACGGAAAGAAGTGGTCCGAATAAAGGTGATAATGATGACAATAATAGCAAGAACAATGGTGTAATAGAAATTGATGAAAATGACTTGACGAATCTTAATATGAATGAGCTTTGGGTCGAGAAAAAAAGTATTTTTTTTTTGGATCTTTTATTCATGTTATTAACAATGAATGACATTTAAGGCGGTTAATTGTTTTTTCTTATCTTATTATTTATTTTTTAGTCGAGCTACCTGAAGATCTTAATGTGGGACCTGCGCCTTTACCAGTGACTGATGCTAAACTCGGTGAAAGAGAGTAAGCGCATTATATTTATTCTATATTAAAGAGTATTATATTAAAACTTATTATATTTGCTTTTAATTTTATATTAGTTATGGTGGTGCTTTACTTGCAGGCGAAGGTTCGGCCATGGCGGCATACGTCCAAGAAGGAAAACGTATCCCGAGACGTGGAGAGATTGGGCTTACTAGTGATCAGATACAGTCATTCGAAGATGTTGGATATGTGATGAGTGGTAGCCGGTAATGTGTTTACTGCATCGTAAATTAAAGAATATGAAAATTTATATTTTGCTAAATTTATTAACAAATAATCCGTATTTATATTTACTAATATAATAGACATCGTCGCATGAACGCCGTCCGTATCAGAAAAGAAAATCAAGTTATTTCCGCAGAGGAAAAACGTGCACTTATGTTATTCAAGTATGTGTATCATACATCTAAGAATTTTTATTTCTCTTTCTATATAATTAATCTAATGTATTATTATATTATTATTACTATTATTATAGCCAAGAAGAAAAAGCAAAGAAAGAAAACAAAATTATCTCAGATTTCCGAGAACTAGTTTCGGATAAGTTACGAGGCAAACAACAATGAAAATAAGATTTCAATATCAAAATGTCAATCAGTACAATCAGTACATTGAACTTGTACCTAATTCTTTTATGGCATTTTATATTAACTTTATTTTTTTTGATTGAATGGAGAGGTTAATCAGTATAATAAATTTTATGGCTAATTATATAAATTCCATCATAATAAAAAATTAAAAATAAATCCTCGAAATCATTGACGATCACTGCCAAAACTAAACGAACTTTACACATTCTTCATTTCATTATAATTGTTATGTCAAATATTTGGAGCATTGACTTTGCAAGTTTGGATCCCTCAAGGTATAATAAATAATAATGAATTACATATTCTTTAGAGAGAATCTTGAAGAGTGCTCAGTATCGTGGTATTATGATTTCGTTGTAGAAATCGGGGGCAACTCACAATAGCCGATCCGCCTGGATATGCAGCTTCTTCGAATTCTTCTACTACACGGAACAGTGCGGTACGAAGAAATTAGGATTCTTTCCCTTGATTTGGCTTTTTAGTCCATTTAAATTATTAACTTGTTTGAAAAATAGAGAAATAGAAGAGAAACTAATTCACAACAGCAACAGCAACAACAAGCCACAGTCATAGAGCAAGATCAAGAAACGCTAAAAGTCAAGGTCTGTCATACATAACCCATATATGATTGCTATTTGATATAATTATTTATCCGATTAAATAAATATTTTTTATTTGTGGTATAGAAAGCATGGGATGCAGCATTATCACCCGGGAAGAATATCCCAATGAACGCGTTCATGCTATGGATGAGTGGGAACGGGGTGCAAATATTTAGTGTCATGATCACTGGGATGTTGTTCTTTCAACCGATTAAAGCTTTGTTGGCGATAGATAGCAGTAAATTCCTTTTCCCTCTATTCCTATTTGTTTTAAAGCAAACACGTAATATTGATAATATAACCAATCATTGATAGCATTTGAACGTTACGAATCTTCAAAAAATCAATCACAACTTTTATTGCCAAAAATCACATTTGTTCTGCTACAACTTTTAACGATGGCACTCGGTCTGTATAAATGTTCCGCTATGGGATTATTGCCAACTGCTACATCTGATTGGTTGGCATTCATGGAACCAAAACAGGTTTGTATATTTTTTTTTGCTTACCTGGTAATATTCATTTTCCGATTACTAATATTAACCACGCAAAAATCAAATAGATAATAGAATATTCTGCAATGTGAGCTAATTATTAATAAATCATATAGAACATTTTTATAATAGAAAGTTTTATTAAATAATATTTAGTATTTGATTAAGCAAGCAAGCAAGCAGCAACATGATCAGAAGTGAAAATGTCAAAGATTATTAAATGAACTATGGTGCAAACGTTTCGAATTCTTTGTGTTGCTTAACTTTTTATTTGAAAGTTTTTAAAACAAAAGACTAATTAATAAGACTCAAACTAGTAAAATAATCTGAAAGATTATGGTTTTTGATTATTATTGGTAGTAGTAGTGACCTCATCATCATCACCAAGATTCACCTCATCAATAGATTTTTTCAAAATCTCATTAACCAGTTGTGGATTCGCTTGTCCTTTTGTTTCGCGCATAACTTGACCAACTAACCATTTAAATACCTTAAGCTGACCTTTTTTGATTCGTTGAGTCTGAAATCAATCAATCAATCAATCAATCAGAAAAGAAGATTCAAAAAAGAACCAAAGAATAGGAGAATGAATGTATTTACTTCATCTGGATATTTTGCCACAATTGTTTTGCAGATTTTTTCAAGTTCCACGCTGTCGTTTATTTGTTGTAATCCTTTTGCTTGAATAATTTCGTTCGCAAGACGAGCATCGCCATCAATCATTAATGCCAGAACCTGTTTTCCTGTTGTACCCGATATTATGTTTTGATTAATACAATCGACCAAGGATCCAAGTTGTTCAACTGTCACCGGGTTGTCGATGAATTTAACATCACGAGTTTTCAGTTGTCCAAACAATTCATGGGTTATCCTATAAGAATAAATTTATTAATGGATTCATATTTCCGTATTGTTCAAAGATAGTTGTTTACACATATACCAATTGATGACAAGTTTCGGATTACGATTATTTGTTATCTATAAATAGATAGATAGATAGATAGATAGATAGATGTATAAAAGATAAATTTAATGGAGCTCTTTTACATGAATAAAAGAAAAAAAATTAACCTTCTCAAAATATTCAACACCGCCTTCTTCCCCTAACACAACACCAGTATCATACACCGAAATACCATATTGTCGCATTAACCGAATCTTTGTGGCGTCTGGTAACTCTGGTAACGATTGATAGACACGCGATAAATATTCCTGAAATTTATAAGATTGTTAAATCAAAATAAGAATCAAATAAAGATATAACTATTAATCTAATGCAAGTAATACCATACATCTGATAATATCAATTCTGGTAAATCAGCTTCTGGCATATATCGATAATCCATTAAAGATTCCTTGGTGCGTAATCGAAGTGTTTTATTACTGGATACATCAAATCTACGCGTCTCTTGTATGACTGGTATCCCTTGTTCTAATGATTCAACTTGACGTTCTATTTCTGCATCTATACAATGATTATTTGTTGATTAAATCTTAATGGGATATTTATCAAATATCGAATACGTAGAATCAGTCAATAAGAATTTGTTACCAATTGCAGACATCAAGAATTTTACGCTATTCAAATTTTTAATTTCACATCGTGTGCCAAATGGCTTGCCTGGTTCATGGACTGATACGTTAACATCACAACGCAAGGATCCCTTATTTTTACAGCACATAAAGATTAATTTCAAAAAAATAATTGAACATTAATATGTATGATAAGATTCACAGAAAACAGAAAATTCACCTCCTCCATATTCCCATCAGAGGACCCAACGGTTCGAAGTAAACCTTGCAATTTGCGAACCAATAAACCAGATTCTTTTGATGACCTTTATTTACACACGCCGGTTAATTAAGATTTAATTAAATTAACATTAATTCTTTATTACCTAATATCAGGCTCAGTTACTATTTCCATAAGACCAATGCCAGCTCTATTCAAATCAATCAATGTCACCGGGGATCCCTCCGATCCTATATCGTAAAGACTTTTTCCAGTGTCCTAAACTTGGAGAAAAAATATAAGATCAAATCTAGTAATAAAATAAATAGGTCTCAACTTTAATGGCTAAAAAATGGAATAGAATTACACACCGAAAGTATACCTGTTCAAGCTGCAACTGTTTGATTCTTATCTCTTTATCATATTCTAGGCCATCCAATAATGATGATAAGAATATTTTGCCATTTTTTGCTAATGGAGCTAAAGAATTATTTTATTAATAGTTAGATTATTGACATTATTAATAGGAAAAAGTTTATTGTTATCATTGAGAATTACCAAAATGTTGTGTGATTTGATATCCAGCTGGTAAATCTGGATACGAATAATGTTTCCGATCGAATGATGAAACACGTTGAATGTTGCATGATAACGCAAAGGATGTTAGTACTGCTAATTCGACGCATCTCGCATTCAATCGCTAAAATCAAAAGTAAATACACGAATTATTCGAAAGTTAAGATCGAAATCGAAAATAATAAATGATATACCGGAATCGTTCCCGGAAAAGCAGCATCAATCACTGAAACGTTAGTATTTACGGGTTTATTAAACGATGTTGATGATGCTAAAAAGAATTAAATATATTATTGCATCAAAATTTCAAGAAACCCGAAAAAGTGTGCCCATAAAAAAACCATACATGAGAATAGTTTTGTTTTAGATTTAATTTGCGCGTGAATTTCCAATCCAATAACAGCTTCCCATTTATTACGATATAACGATATTGGTAACCCATTACTGAAATTTGTATTAACAGTACTGCTCCAACGAATCTTATAATAATTCAATTTCGAGTAATGATGACCATAACTGCAACCACCGCTGCAAACTCGTCTCGGAAAACGATTAAACATTATTTCGGAGTAAGATCCTATTTCACCGACCAATCATTTTTGTGTTCTCGTTACGAAAAAGCGTTATTTAAGTTTTACTCGCTGAAAAGCGTTTCGGCCGATGCTACGTAAGTCTACCTCGCATATGTTATCAAAGAATTACAACCAACGAATTTTTAAAATTGAGATAACGGAGAAAGCAATAATCTATACAATAGTTGTACACCAGTATACGCAGAAAAAAAAGGTTGATGAAAGTTGCCAACAATCGCAAAGTAAATAATACTCGAATACCCATGTTTTGAAGGTAAAATGTCCAATATATTAGCACGAATTCACAACTATACATTGTCAGACGGACATTAATTGTTATTTGTTCTAGGTTCGAATCTCTACTAAGGGGTTTGAATGTATTTTACATATAATCCAACTCAAGGAAATTTGAGGTTAAAGGAACATAGTAATGTGAAATACCATTCATTAACAACTCATACAAGCCCAGATTTTATATGGATTTGTATGTATGTATATATAAAAATATATAGATATTTTTTTTGAATTAATTACCCGAACAATAACTTCACACATTAAATCGATTTTTAAGCCTTAGCAAAAGAAGAAATCGGAGGATACCCATCTCATCATCTAGTATCCAACCCTCTCAAGTACACACGGTCACTTTTAACATTCCTATACGTCGTTTTCAAGCCTTAGCAAAAGAAAAAATCGGAGGATACCCATCTCATCATCTAGTATACAACCCTCTCAAGTACACACGGTCACTTTTAACATTCCTATACGTCGTTTTCAAAAAATATAAAGGGAAACCACTCCCAGTATCCTGCATCCTCAATCCATTAAATCTGACAATAAAATGCAAAGATAAAATCGTTAGCAAGACGCGTTCTAGGGATATTATATTGGAGAATCAATAGAACACCAATGTTCATCAAGTAACAATGTGCAATTAGAAAAGAACAGTAATACGCCACCACCACTATCTTGCAGTGAATTTTTTTTAATTGCACATAAAGTTGCATTTTTCGTTTTTCCTCTTAGTTTATTCTCTGACTGATTAATATATTATTGCTATTCCTTTAACATATTAGCTCATTGTATCTTCATATTTTTTTGTCAATAAAAAATAAAATATACTTCATGAATATAATATTCTTTCTTTGCTTTATATTAAAAGATAATTTCAGGCTTAGCCACCCGTAAAACAGATCAATAATTTATAAACTTTAAAATATCTTATAAATAATTTTCTATTACAATATACGCATTTACATTATAATCGATAATGCAAATGAATATTGTCTTGTCTATTATGATGAAAATAACAATGATTCAAACGCGAAACGAATCAGATCTATACTTAAATATAAAGGAAAAAGTGCCAAATCATGAATATTACAAAATACAAAAATTTAGATTACACGATAATTATTATGAAGACCTATTGTTTCATGAGCTTGAAAATTTTCACGTGTTGATTTTGCCTGATCATTCCTTATTGCCTCCAAATTATCAAGATACTCGGGAGTCACAGCATCCGTTACATATTTTCCATCAAATACGGAACAATCGAAGCTCTTGATATTTTGATTGAATTTATAGCATGATGCGATTAGGTCGTCTAATTCCTGTGAGACGATATTTTTATCAGGCATATAAATTACATAAAAATTAATAAGTTTATTTTGTCGCTTACCTGAAAAATTACTTTATCAGCTCCAATTTCCATAGCAATTTCATCGTCACTTCGATTATGAGCGACTAATTCGTTTCGTGATGGCATATCAATACCATATACATTAGGATATCTAATATTGATTGATTATACGTTAGTCTTAATGCTTCTTTCTATTTCCTATGTCGAAAAATTTCACAAACAATTCAAACATAGAATTATAAAGAAGTATTGTAACTAAAAAGTCATACCTTATAGCCGGCGCACAAGATGCAAAGTATACCTTTTTTGCACCGGCGTCTCGAGCCATTTGCACAATCTCTTTGGAGGTTGTTCCTCTAACAATGGAATCTAATGCATTATGAATTTCATTGTTGATTAATTCATCAACTATCAGTATAAGCATTGATATCGATTTTTGCTAGTATGTTTGTTAAATCATGCATTATATCTCACCATCAACAATGAGAACATTCTTATTAGCGAATTCTAAGGCCATAGCATTCAATTTCCGTCTCACATTTTTTCGGCGCATAAGTTGACCGGGCATTATAAAAGTGCGTCCAACATATCGATTTTTTATGAATCCTTCCCGATATACAATTTTTAATTTATAAGAGACTTGTAGTGCAGCCACGCGACTTGTATCAGGTACCTAAGCAAAAAAAATGAATAATGTTAGTATTATTCTAAATTCAATCCAATACATATTTAATAAAGACACAAATACCGGAATAACAACATCAATATCCGTAGTATCCCCACATTTTCGCTTAACCTGATCCGCTAAAAATTCACCCATCGCTAATCGTGATCGATACACAGAAATTCCATCAATCACCGAATCGGGTCTTGCAAAATACACATACTCGAATATGCATGGAGTGAATTGACTCGCTTCTTTCAAGATTTTTTGGGTGACTGCTTGTTTGGTGATAATTATCGCCTCACCTATTTCATATTCGTATTATAATAATTCTTATTATCTCGTAAAGAAGGGGATAACATGATTCTATTTTATAAAGTGCTCTTACCAGGTTTAATATCTTTAACTCCATAAAATCCAGAGGCATCAAGTGCCACACTTTCCGAGGCGAACATATAATCAACACCTTTTGGACCATCCCGTTTTCCAAGACATATCGGACGTATGCCATTTGGATCACGAAACCCTATAATTCCAAAACCTTATATCTCAAAAAATTAGAAAAACTTAACATGATTAAATTCTAACAATTATGTAATTCCAACAATCTCAAACAACCAAAATAATAAAGATTAAATACCGGCTATCATAGCCACACAAGCGTAACCACCAATACATTGTTCATAAATGCCGGTGATCGCTGTGAAAATATCTTCTTCGTTAATTCTATCAATTAATAAAAAATATTAATCAAATAAAAAATTAAAAAAATCCAATTATTAATAATAGTATTATCATTATTTTTCACCTAATTTTTCCCGTCCGTTGTAAATTATTGGCAAAAATATTTAATAGCAATTCTGAATCTGAATCGGTGTTGATATGCCGATGTGCATCCGTATCCAGAAAATTTCTTAATTCCTTTGCGTTAATCAGGTTTCCATTCTATCCGGATTATAATTATAGATTTTAAATATACAATTGTGAAAATTAATTTTTGGGTTAAAACCTACATGACCGAACACAATGCCATATGGACTATTCACGTAAAATGGCTGTGCTTCGGAATGGGACGAAGTTCCGGCTGTTGGATATCTAACTAACGAAAAACCACAACAAATTTCAAGGTCAATAATTTAATTGGAAAATAATTCGACGAGAATAATAATTTACCGTGACCAATCCCTAAATTTCCAACTAAATTTTGTAAATGTTCTTGGTCAAATATGTCTCGTACCATTCCGTTGCCTTTACATTGATAAAGGCGTCCTTTGTGACCACAGGTGACAATTCCGGCGGCATCCTATTTTACAATATAGGAAAATGTCAACTAATAATCTTTTAAAAAGATCCGAGGAAATAAAACTAATTATGACCTGTCCTCGGTGCTGTAATATCTGTAAACCTTCAAAAAGCTCTATGCTCGCTGAGGCCGTAGAATCAGCTAATAAAATTGCTAATATTCCACACATTAGTTCTTACGTGTGGTGAAAAAAAGTCGCGCCGAACATTTATAAAAAAATTTATCGATCATATGATCGATAATTTTCATCGAGTCAAATAAAAACGTGCCGCTGTATTGACATGAGCTTTTCCTTTTTTTTCATATTCGTGTTCAGTCTGAACTTGTACATTTTTAATATTTTTAATTAAAATAAATCATTTTTAATTAAAATAAATAGCCGAGCATCCAAATGAAGCGAACAATGTTATTTTATCAAAATTTTCATCTTTAAATGCATTTGTTCTATTTGATCTAAAAAAAAAACAGTAATAAATTATGTCTACTATAAGTTCAAAAGTTCGAAGAGAAAAATAAATACAGAGATAAAATTTTAAAATTTTAAAATTTTTAAATGATTTAAAAATTAAAAATAAACATGAGGAAATATACAAAGAATAGAAAAATCAGTATTAAAATCATAAGAAAACAGCAAAATTAAATTAATTAATTATCAATAATATTGTGAACCAATTTACTAGCCAACAAGGCATTCGCGCGCATTTTCTCTCTAGTGATGCCATGGAACGATCCACATTCCATTAAATTTTTGAAGCCGATTTCCTCCAAAAATGGCATATGATTGCCGCGTGCGCGCGAATACAGTGGCTCTGAGACAACAGTGTATAAAATTGATTGAACAGCGTCGAGGATTGGAATTGTGTCGCTGCTCGTGATGATTTGATTCATTTTTGGTTGGAGAGTGTCATAACTATTCAATGAAAGAAATATTTTTTTACAATTTCAGATAATTCGATTAATTTGATTCAATATTGTATTATGTAGGAGAACACTAATATGCTAATGAACACTTACACCAAGGCAAAAACTTCAGGAATGGCAATCGCAGCTTCCGCCAAAAATCCATACAAGAACAATCTTTCAGGCTCATGTTCCGCATTTTGCAACATAGCCACCATCAAAGAAATCAATAATAAAGCTGTCTGATTATCGGGAATATCCAATCTCGGAAATATTTTGTAATATGTGTTTGCGAGTTCTGCATTGTCCACATCCATATCATAAATTCCACAGACCCAAAGTAACTCTTTCATTTCAGCATTCTTCGCCGAGATTGGTAGTAACGCGGCCAAATATCCAAGCATGCTCGAATCGACGATGTTTTGTTCAATGCCGATGCCTTTTGACGATATCTCGAGGAACAAATTCAGAACGGCTTGTGTATCAGTTTTTGTGGCGGGATGTTTAAGACCTTTCAATAGGGCGGCTGCGACAGCGAATGAGAAATGTTCATAATTGATACCAGCTTCATAGTCCATTGTCACTGCTACTTCAGCCAATGGAGCACGAGCTTCCAATAATACTTTTGTTATATCTTTATGCTCGAAAAATCCATTTACGTCTAATGCTCGTAATACCACTTGTAAAAGTCTTATTGCACTCGGAAACACTAAAATATTCCCTATTTGTACTAATGACATTGCAAGCCAAAATAGTTGTCTGATGTATCGGCAACTGCTGTCGAGATTTTCAACGATATTTGTTAGGCACATTATTATGCTCACGATTAGAGAGACATCGTTGTCTGAAAATAATTCGAGCGCACCACGTAATGCAACAAGTATTTGATATAGAAGGTCATCGTCGACCTCTTCACGTGCTAGACAACCAAGTGCTACGAATGCGCGTGGTTGTATGGCGGGATTATGTTGAAATGCTGTACTCGCCACAAGGCTCATCCATCTTGCTCTCCAAGTATTTGACATGTCTAAATGTATATATTAACAATAATCAATAGATCAATAGAAAATTAGAATCAATTCGAAAAGATAAACAATATCTACCTATAGATGGAGCCCCACAGACCATAATTTCCAACAAAGATTGCACAATCTGTTCTAACGAGGATAACGGCATCATCTCGGCACTATCATGCGCTGACTCACCAGTGATAACAAATGCATTGCCGGCGACATTATTCAAACCGAACAATAATCGAAATTTAGGTTCTGAAAATTCACCCAATAAGAAAGTAAGTCGTGCAGAGCTAGAATCATCTAATGGCATTGCAGTACATAATGATTGAATAAGATTGACGACTAGGCCATGAATAGATGCTCGAATTAACGCTGGCCCAGTGGCAACTAGTACCGAGACTATATAAAATAGCTCAGGGAGATATAGTTGCACGTGGAGTCGATTATTGAATGATAACATTAAGTTGAATCTCACAAGCACTGCAATTTCAGCCCATGCTGGATTCTCTGTTAGTGTTCGTGTGGGTTTTAATGATGTTCGAGCGATTGCCTATTTAATATATAAATAGAAATAGTTAATATTAGTTTTTTATTCAATAAAAAATAAAATTTAAAAGTTTAAAGAAATTAACCCTTCGAAGCCTTGATATAATTTTCCCCCGAACATTCACAGAAGATAATGTAACTATGGTGTTTGCCACCGTTTCCGCTTGCACAGAATTGATTCCAAATTCGACAGCATATGCAACAAATTCGCTGATTATCAAATTGGTGACTTCATCAACTTTTCCTAAAGTGCTCCAGATCTTTGATTGGACCGTGGTGTACATCTAAATGTAATATCATTGCAGATTTAAAATTTAATTAAACCAAATATATCTATATAAAAAATATTAATTTTTACCTCTGACTCTTTGGTGGTCAATTCAATCAACTTTTTTAGAATCTCCCTTATTTTACCAACTCCTGGTTGACTATCACTTCCGTTCTTACTATACTGGGCCAAATTTAGTAGCCAAGGTGCCATATATTGAAGACAGAGATGTTTCAGTGAAGTACTTGATTTATTGAACCCAACGAAAAATTCGTTAAGGAATTCGATTGTGAGACCGGGTTCAGTCATGGCAAGTCGTTCACTTAATGATACGACAAAATTTGTATTATTTGCTGGTATACACAAGCCTATATAAACAAATAAATTGATTTAAATCAGATACATGGGAATAGTGCGATAGAAAATTAATTACCAAATAAAATAAGTCAAACAAGATTGTCTATTAAATATATTCACCTTTTGCAGTTAGCAGCTGGTTTCCAACATCGAAATTAAATATGATACTTAATGCCACCAACAAATCGTAAGCTGCCAACCGTAAATTCGGATCCTCGCTACCAATATTCAAAAGTGCCATATTTAACAGCGTCCCTGGCACATCACTAGGACGAATAACACGCTCGGTGACATTTGATGGTTTCGTTAGTTGAAATCGAGCTTTTGACGCACGAATTGCTTGCATAATTTGATCTCGCTTTGGACTTGTGAACGCGGTTGACGAACGACCTTCATCTTGTTTTATGACAAATTCATTGTCGTCGCTTTTGTGTGATGACAGTGTGATATCTTCGATTTCGGAAATGTGATATACATCATTGAGGATTACTTGTTGACCATTGAATAAATCTTGTTTTCGGGTCTATTTTTGGAAAGAGAAAAATTAAGGGATCAACGAATTAATTAACTTAATTTTGTTTAAAGATTAACATGTTAATATATACCGTAATAACTTGTATCGTTTCACTGCTAATCTTCATAATAACGGGAACAGTAATCCTATAATGTGTTATTTTCGTGACAGGCGTAAAATGTGTACAAGGTTCAGAATCAAGTTGAACTTGATAATAATAATAATAATAATAATAATAAAAAAGAATATATCAGTAAACTATCCTGAATATGATAACCATTTTTCTATATTCCCTTGCAAACTTACTAGTAGTCTTTGGCAACCGAACATCTGACGGTGCTATGTATTCATGCAACTCCGACAACGAATTCATGAAAATAGCTTTTTTGCCGATTTTCTGGGACAATGGCCTTGGTAATTTCTTTGAAAACTTTTTGAATGCTGTGTTTGGATTATACATGTAGACATTTGCTAGATTTTCGACTGCATTGAACGGGAGAATCTGAATAAATTGTTGAATCCATTGAGTTTGTATTTCGTTGGCTTGTGTGAATTGTGTTAGATCAATAACCACTTCGAATGGTTTTCCAATGGAGGATTCAATTGTCTTGTTTTCCAATTATTAATTAGCGATGCATGGAAGAATAAAAAATAAATATAAAATAAATTCAAATATATCCTTACATGAAGGACATGGTACATCAATAAGTCCATATCTGTGGATTCTGAACTTAGTCGACGAGCTATATAATAAAAGACAGGTCTTTTTTCCTACATGAAAAAAACGATCACTCAAATCAGTCAGATCAATCAATGAATCAATTAATTAAATATCAACCGATCAATCATTGGAATAATAAGTACTTTTGAAAATCCATAACTATAAAATAATCCCTTAGATTTAATATAATCCAAATTTCGATGCGAATTTCTTCGCATGAAATCCGTAAATAATTGATGATTAGTCTCAAAGTGTTGGTTACTAATATTAGTGAATTCTTTTTTCTGTGTCTCAGGTGGAGGACCAAGTTTTGCAAGCAATGTCGATAGTTTATCATACGCACGCTTATTTGCTTGCGTTTGTTCAATCTCCGAGGGAACGTTTACATTGCTACTCGACGGATTAAGTGACGATTTCATGCGCCGTGTTATTAAATCTTTACCGATTTTGTCCAGATTTTGGATTAAATGTTTGTGTAGTAATTTTAAATCAGAATCGTCAACACGCAAATTGTCATTGTTATTGTTGTTGTTGTTGGTAGGATTAACGGATACAGTGGTGCTATTGCCTAACGAGTTACTTAGTATATTATTGACGTCGCTTATTTGTGTTTCATTTACTGTTGGAGGTGTATCTGGTAATGGTGTGACTGGTGATTCAGAGAATGATGGTTCCTGTAATATCCATTTGTTTATTCATTCATTCAATAATTATTCGAGGGGTAGTTATTAGCTTAAAAAATTAACAATAAACAAAACTCACCGAAATCTCCTGCAAGAATCTTGTAACCTTATTTATATTGTCCTCCAAAAAATCATTCATAGCAGTCATGAATGGTTCCTTGGCACCAAACAGTACATTATTCGCAATATTCGTGATAGTTTTAGTTGTCAAGAGCAATCTTCGCCTCATTTCCTTGCTTGGTGCTTGCTTCACAAGATTTTCCGAATCGGGAGCAACGATTACCGGACAAAAGAATCGCAAGAAAATGAATGCGCTGACTGCGGTAAATTTTGATTGTGGAAATCGTTCCTCGGTCGCAGTTGCTATGTAATAACAGACTTCTCTGAATGATCTTTTTTTGTAGTTTAATTAAAATTAAATCGAAGTTAGCATTAATATCAAGGATCTAATGTTGTATAAAAGTAAGCGTGCAAAATATATTATATAAATCTAAACCTTGGAACATTCTTAGCCGAAGCACATATTTCATCCAGAACCAATTGAGCCTGATTATTCAAATTCGAACGATTATTCTGGATATTTTCGCCGCTTCCGATTCGCACCTCGTCGAGTTCAAAACCACGTTCATTGGCCGGATTATCCAAAATATTCTGGAGAAGAGGTTGTAGCGTTTCGCGTAGATATTCTGAACCATGCATTTTTGCGAATACACTTAGTAATTTGGTGGTCATGCAGTTTCGACGTAATAGTTCAGCTTCATTCACTATATGCATGTAATATAAATGTATCAATTTCTAATAACATAAATCCCTAGAGTTACAGTCATACCTCTATATAAGAACATGATTGGGACTCCAAAAAATTATGTTCTTATAAAATGTAATTGAGTTCTTATATAGAGGGAAATTTAATATATTTCATAATAATTTGGTTCTTGAAAGTAGTTCTTATTTCAACTATTCTTATATAAAGGTATGACTGTAGATCAATTGATTGTGCATTAAATTCACAACAGCAATATACTTACCAGTGTTAGATACTTCTTTTTCAATCACAGCCTTCATAAGAGCCATCGTCCTCCTCCGAGACTCAAATATCGTTAATAACATTTGTGCAACCTCATCAATATCACAGACCGGACAAACTTCACATAAAGATAATACAATACTAAGATCGGAACCAGTGACTAACTGAATTCCCAAAAGAAAACAATCAATTGATGTTATTGAAGTCATCTATTTCATTTATTTATAATTAACAAGAAAATAGACCATTAATAGTATTATAATTTTACCTCGACCAATCTAGCATATTGATCATTAATAGCGTTTTCGGCGAGCCCGTCAAACTCGGTTCCCTGTTTCAAGATGTTGGTGAGCACTTGCATAAATGCTGTTCTGGTTTTTGTGTCTTCGTGATATCCCATCGAAAGCGAATACTTTAGCCCGGCATCAACATTTGCACTTAGGAGATTTGATAGGGCGAGAATGGTGTAATCTTTTAGTGGCCCGAGGTCTTTCACATATTCCTTGGACTATGGATGTCACCATTATTATAAAATTGAGTAATTTCGTTGTTATAAAATTCTTATGTTAGATACACATACTAATAATAGGCATAAAGAAATAATTGAAATAAATGTAAATTTACTCTTGACAGCAACATTTGTAAGTCTTGATTGTTTTTCGCAGAATGTGATCCACTATCGATTGCCTTTTATTTCAAATAAAATAAATTTGTAAGTAAAACTTAAATATCATTCGATGATTAAACTTAATATTGATGCCATAATAATACAAGAAGAAAAATATATATTCGTACCTCCAGAATACGACACCGATTCAATAGCTTTATAAAGAAAGAAAAGTACTTGTAAAATAAACGTGCTTTTGTTAGACTTAAATCAGCTTCGTGTGCTGTATCTGAAGGCTGTAATGGCAATTGTGCCAACAACACATGAACCGTTTTAAGACATGCTTGATCCAGATCACGATGTAGTCGTTCATTCTTGCTTGGTGTTATTTCCGAGATTTGATTCCCATCAGTTTTCACCGAGAAATCTGAAGTCCATTCGATAATAATCTCCAATAATTTATTACGTAGAATAATTTCTTGTCTTAATGTAATATAGTCCTTTTTGGCCATTAAAATTTCACAAAGTTGACACATTTTCACTTTTATCCGTAGTGCGACATGGCCAGTGCCAAGACGATGTAGATATCGAGCGAACGATAATACCAAGCCTCCGAAATCGACGCTATACAGGTTTTCAGAGGCATCTTGTATTCGATCGAGAATTAATTTTAATACTGAGATTGCTTGTTCTATGAATAATGTATATCGTTCGACACAATTTGCTTCGCCCTCGGAATCGAAAAACTTAGAGACAATATACTCAAGATGTTTGAACAGAATTACATATAGTCTTGGGCTTAGATCAGCTCCTAGAGTTTCTTTAACAATTTCGCGAACATATACAGTATCACAGACAAGCAATTCCACCATATGTTGAACGAACATCTCTACCATCGAATGATAATTATTTATATCATGTTGTGGATTTGCTGAAGCTCGACGATTCGATGAATCCATAGTCATTGATGAATGTCGATCATTCATTAATTGATCTCTAACACAACATCCACCCAACGCTGATAGGAATCCCGTGTAATTATGCCATTCGGTGGTCTGTACTTCCGTGATATCGGTTGAAGCTCCGGTATTCGTTCGACCTAATGCTAAAAAATTTGATTTCTTGTCATAATCATCCATTGGTTTGGCCACCATAGCATTTAATGCTTGCCATCGTTTGAATGCTTCTTCCCATGCGGCGAGATTCCCATGAGTAGGATTTTTCATTAATCGTAATAATTTACGTGTACGTTTTTGCTGCGCCATACGTCCTGTAACCATGTAGTTTGGCGAGGACAACTCTAAATAAACATCTATATTCTCAACAATAGTCAATTGAGAAGGTGGTTCGTCCAAATCTTCGGTCAATTGCGCTTCTGTGCATAAATGTCCGAAACAAGTGACCGCAATAGAACAAATTTCTGTATCAGCTGAACATAATAACACTAATAACGCAATTTCTAAAGCTACATTAGATGCAAATCTTTCTGGAACGTTGATTCCAACAGTTGCCATCTCTCGATTTGCTTTTAAGAATTCATTTCGCTTAATAAGCAACTGATGTAACAATTCCAACATGTATTTTGCTCCTTCCTCTCGTTCTTTTAACTCAACAATTTGTCGTGCCACCGCTAACATCACTTGCGAACTTACACACCAGAAATTAAACATCTTATTCTCCGATGGTCCCCATTTTTCAATGTAGTCAGGATCATGCAACTCCAATAAAGTTTCTGCGGCAATTGTACGAATTGCCTGGTTAGAATTATTTAGACAATGTGTGATGCAGATGATTGTTCTATTCTCGTCTGAAGGTTCAGAAGAATCACTTTGCTAGGTTAAGAAACAGATAAAGAATTAGTAAGCAATCATATAAAATTAAAATAATAAAAAAATCAACGAACCACAAGGGCCAATGATGGATCAGTTTTATACAGTTTTAAGATATTCAATATAATTTCTGTTTTTTCATTTGCCTCCTCCACCATTTTTTTGGCTTTTTTTAATGGGTCAACACTCTTATTCATTACATAGTCTTGGAACAGTTTACGTAATGGCGACACAAGAACCGAATACATTGAAGTTATATCTGGGTTCCATGGTAATCGATTTTCCTCAGATGCGAGAACAAAACAACTTTTCACCAAAACCAACTTAAAAGCGCTCGGTGCATTTCTTTGCAAGCAAACATGAATTAACGAGTGTAACGCATTACGTGGATTCAAACGAAACAATGCGGTCAGACAATCGGTCATTAGTCGTTGATCGACATGCGCCTCAGTAATGAACGGTTGATTCGGATCAAACAATTTTTCCTTCAATTCATTTTCAATTTCTGGGACAATTAATCGTAGCGCCGAAGAATCATTCTTCGATACATAAGTTGCTGCCTTGCAAATGTCTACGTAGCAAACCGCAGCAACATCTGCTAAAGCAGATTTTCGTAGTGATTTTTTTAGATTTTCCAAAAACAACGCCTTTTTCGACATTACAGCCGTTCCTCGATCGATCATTGCGGCATTTAGTAAAATATCTGGACAGAGGATCAAAAGCATTGTTTGTAATGGCCAAAACACCGTTCTGCGCCTTGTGTTATCGGCTAGACTATAACAAATGTCAAATAGGATTTCGGGACCCCCCTCCATACGTTTCTGTGATTGACAAAGTGCCACGAATTCTGCGGGAAACACTTCGATCCAGTTCCAAATTGCCTTTCGTAATATCACTGCCATTACTGTTTGCGCGGATCTTTTCAAGTGTAGAAATGTTCCGCATAATTCTATTTGTGATCAAGATAGTTTTATTAATAATGTTTAAATATATTTTGGGTTTGGTTAATTGATAAGTCAAACAACAGAAGTGTATGTATAATTAAAAAAAACCTTGTAACACCATTGAAAGGCGTTTTGAATTCAAATCAGAACATTCTAATAACTTCAATTCAGCGGTTTCCGGCCATTCATCATGAGTACTAGTTAAATATCCAATACGACTCTTTATCCTCGAAAAGACAACACTCCAATTCGAGGCACTAATATAGAAAATTACTCTACCGGCATTCTTAAAAATCTCACAAATAATTTCATAAGTAACTGTCGAATAAACTGCATTTCCGCCATTGACCACTCCTCCTCCAAAGGCGCCACCGCCTCCACTACTGCCAACCCCTTGATTTTGAACGCCTGCACCAGGAACTCCGGTGATTGGTTGATCCTTTGGCGAATTATCCTCTTGACTCGCCATTTGATGCAGAAATCTAGAGAGAACATTGAGGATATATTTCGCTAGAGAATCCTCGAGTTGTGGTGGATCATCCCATGATTTAGGGAGTTTAAATGGTCGTAGAGTTGATCCATTCGTTGATGATGCATTGTTGTTATTGCTGGGATTTATATTACTAGTATTATTGTTGTTTGGATTTATGTTACTGCCGATGCCATTATTTGTCATTTTCGAGGAAACAGTGTTAAATGTGTGAATAGTCGTTGAGGAATAATTAGAGATTCCATTAATATTTTCGTTAATTTTATCGTTATTAATTATATTATTATTAACTAAAGTAATGACTGATGAATCATCTGATGGTTGTCGTGAAATAACATGATTAACATTACTATTGCTATTGTTATTGATTTCAACAGATAATTGCGATGATTTTGGAATACCATCCGATAATTCTCCTCGTTGTGACCCACGATACCATTTCCAGTGGTGGGTTACACACGCTGAAAGTATTTTCAGGATGAATAACTGTGATTGAAGAATGTCGATTGGTATAAAGTCTTCTAGAACCATTGTTGTTGGCTTGATAGCATAGAAAAGAGTTAAATATTATTATGAAAGTATTTGTAGATTTAAGTAAATTCGTTATTAAACCCCACTTCCAAGATGAACAAATTTTTTTTCCTCTCATCAAAGTTTATATCATTTTTCCTCTTCATCCGATCCATGTCAATTTTTTTCCATTTCATCCCATTAACAGATTTCTTTCAACTCTAAATATTAGATATCTACCTTTGATATGTTTTCCAATAACTGGGTTAAATTGTTAGCAATGGTACTAAGTCTAAACCTGGAAAGATCCACGATCGCATTAACAGTTTGCAGTACGAGAGGATCAGCCTCTATCGTTTCTAATTTTTTACCACTGTTACATGGTAGCTATTGGTTTTAGTATAAATATTAATAAATTATATTATGTGAAAACATCGTCTCAGAATATAATGAAATTACAATCGTTTCTTTACTTCTTTTCTATAAAAAATAAATACCTTTAGTCCAATACGAGTAATCAATGCTAAAATCAATTTTGTATCTCCATTCATTATATCTTTGGAAAAGAATCAAGAAATTTAAAGAGAGAAATTTTTGAATTTTCGATTTTATTTTCGAAAAAATAATTTTTTATGTATATTCTTTTTTAAAAAAAAGTAATGATGATATATATATAAATAATGAAAATAAAATAACGGATTTCGTCAAAAAATACACACTCTCACTCTAAGGAAGGTAGAATTTTTCAAACAATAAAGAAAAAAAGAAATGAAAAAAGGAAGGTTTAGAAGGAGGTGTTTCGTGGGTAGTTAAAGTGTTAAGTAAATAATGTTCATAAAAAATGTGGTGAAAGATAACAGTAAGGTACGTGTTACCATATTGCATGTATGCATATAACCAATAACCAATAACATAAGATGAAATAATATTAAAGTTTTTTTAGTAATGTATATCTCAGACATATAATATATAAATAACTAGTGTTATTCGGTTAATTTTTGACGGTTAACCGGTTATTTTATTATTTTATTATTTTATTAAGCGAATGTAAAATCTATTAGAAATCATTATAGGTCAAAGCAAAAAATATCGATTCTCGTAATGATCTTTTTTTTAACAATAATATCTTAAGCAAAAAAAAAAATATTTAATATTTAATTTTTAAAATTACAAATTTTATTTTTCAAAAGTTATTGGAATATACTTTATTCTTAAGAGCAATGATGCTTCGTCGATATTCTCCCACTGATATTGGGACCTGAGCGGCAACAATCCCGGTCGATACGATCCCGCTTACCAATAATGCAAGGTATTTCAAAAATATTAATTATTGTTATATTTTACTAGTAATGATACATTTAATTATGAATGCAGGACGAATGCCCTGCTTCCGCTGCCGTGATAACAACTGCCAGCGCAAATATTAACATAAATGCCGGCGTTATAACAGCAACAGTTGAGACGCCACGCAAGTTTTTTATATATAAATTTATATCTGCAATTATTAAATTATTGATTATTTTTGCATTGAAAGATCGAGACCGTGGCCAGGGACGCGGCAGGTCGCCATCACAGGGAAAATTTTATAATTAATGAATAACTAAGAATAATTATTAAAATCATGAATTTTAGCAGATAATATAATATTAAATTTAAAATACTAATTAACTATTAGTATGCAATATATATTTATATTACTGCAAAACTTTGAATTTTAATAAATACTAATTAACTAATCTGATGTAATTCCTGAATTTTAGTATTTTGTCATTTTTCAAAATAATTTTGGCAAGCATTTCTATGAATAATATGTTAATATTTTATATCAAATATATCATATAGCTATATTAATTATTAAATATATCATTGAATAGTTTATTAAAGAGAATATATTATAATTATATTATCAAGTAGTTATAAAAAAGTATATTAATTAATAAATAATAATATATTAAATATTTTGCATTAAATATATTTATATATATTAAAAAAGAAAATATATTGTAATTATATTATAATTATATTATGATTATATTGTTGTAATTATAATATAATTATTTTGCAATTATATTTAAATTAATCATGATCAAATAAAAATTTTTTCTGATTTATTATTATATATATATATAAAATAATATATTTAAATATTCTAATTATTTCCATTTCACTTATATTTAAATAACTTTTAATATAACAGAATTATAATTATTATCTTTTTTACAAATTTTTATTTAAATTATTAATTAAAATAAATACTTATTTTATAGAAATTAATTTTTTAATTTAAGCTCAAGATTTATTTTATCATATAATTTATTATTAAATTTAAAAGATAATTAAAAATTAATATTAATATCTTTAACTTTTTTATTATTTATATTTTTATTTAATATTATTATATATTTTATTAATTTAAGACTGAATTTTATTTTTATTATAATTTTTACTAATATAAATTTTTATATTATTAAGATAATAATAATGAATTTTAATTATAAATTCAAGTTTTTATTAATAATTAATATTATTATCTTTTATAAACTATATAAAATAAAAAATATATATTATATTTAGCTAAATATAATATTATAAAAAAAATTTTAAGATAAGAGATTTAAATTATTAAAAATATTATTATATATTATTTATCAAATATAAAAAATATTAATATTAAATAAATAATATAATATTATATAAATATTATTAAAGATAATTAATTTTTTATATAAATTAATATTATAATTAAGATATTTTTAAATATTATTAATTTTTAACAAAAATTTTTTTATTAAGTAATTTTTATTAATATTAATATTTAGATTATTTAATTAAAATATAAAATAATAATAATTAATTTTAATTAATAAGATTAATTAATTTTATATTATAAATATAAAAAATAAGTTAATAAATAAATATAATTAATAAATTTTTTAAATTTATAACTAAATTAAATTTTAAAATTTTTAATAATTCTTAAATAAAATATTTTTAATTATTAATATAATTTTAATTAAATTAATATAATAATTAATTATTATAATATTTTTATTAATACTTAAATAATAATATAAATTAATTTTAATATTTTAATTAATATTTATATATTTTTAAAATAATTATAATATTATAAAATAATTTTAATTATTTAAAATATATAGTATTTTATAAGTATAATTTATTTAAATATTTTATAAAATTATTTAAGAGTAATATAATATAGATAAAAATATATATTTTACTAATTATAATTAGTAAAAAATTTAAGTATTATATTATTTTTGATAGTCACTATATTTGTAATTAATAATATTTTTATCATATATAATAATAAATATTTTTTATTTTAAAGTATTTAATAGAATATATTAAATATAATAGTTTTAAGATTTATTATTTTAATAGCTTGCTAAAATTATTTTGAATTTATTTTATTTTTTTAAATAATTAATTTTTATTTTTTAGTTTTAGTTAAAAATTTATAAATTTAATTATTATTTAATAATATAAATAATTATAAATATTAATATATTTATTTAAATTCATTTTAAATAATTATTATTAATAAATATATATGATATTCTTAAAAATAAGTTAATATTAAAATAGATATATTTTTTTATATATTATATTAAAATTATATTCTTTTAATATCATAATCTAGTAAAAATATCTTTTAAATATATTTGATTTATTAAATAAATAGATAAAAGCAAAATAATTAGTAATTAATTAAAAAGATATATTAAAATATAAATATAACTAGAAAAATTTTCTAGTTTAGTATATTTTAAGATATTCTAGTTTTATTATAAAATATTTATTTTTTGTTTATAATATTATTTTACTAATATAAATAATTATTTTTTCTTAATTATTATTATTTTTTTATAATAAAATAACTTTTAATTTAAGTTTAGAAATATTAATAAAGAGAATAAATAATTTATTAAAATTAAAATAAGTTAATATTAATATAGTTATAAAATATTTTTTTAATTTTTTAAAAATAATTTACTATTTAATAATCTAAATAAAAGATTTATCTTTATAAAATAATTAGTATAAAAATAAAATAATTTTAATAAAATCTTTTATGAAATAATAATAATATAAAATAAAATTAATAAAGTCTCTTAATATTATAAGATTAATTAATATTGAAAAGTTTTATACTTTTTTTATTTTAACTAAATCTGATTTAATATTATTTTTATTAATAATATAATTAAAAAATTATAATAAAATTTTATTATTTAATTATATTGTTACCGTTTTAAGATTATACGTATATAATTATTTTAAAATGGTAATAGTGACTGTGTTCACGGCAATTATTTACTTTTATAGGTCCAAGAGAGTTATACAACTAACTATTTTCTGAATAAGATAATATGTGTAGGATTTATAACTGATGAATTACAATTATCTTCTCAATAAGATAATTTATGCGTGCTTTACTTCTTAACAAAAATATGATTATCTTCTCAATAAGATAATATACGTGAATTTACTTCTAACAAAATGCTCTCTCAATAGAGC